TTGGATGTATTTTTTTATTTTAAGCAGTTCGTTAATTGAAATAAAATTACGTTTTGCTTCTGTTACTGTGCATTTTAATTGGATTAAGTTTTCATATTTTTTTCGAAGCGTACATATAATAAATTATGCTAAATAATTTAAAATACNTTCATAAGAAACAAAACTTTAACTTCTTAAGGCCTATAAAATACGGAAACTAATTTTTTAAATTTCTGATATAAGTTTGATGTGTTTCTACCTTGATCTTGTCAAGATACTTATGAAACACATTGCAAATAAAGATGAAGAATAATAAAATAAACTATTGCATTCATAAAACTCTCGTATAAATTACAGAAAAACAATATTATAATAATAAACTTCTTAGATATATTCTTTTATTTAAAATAATTCAGTAACTGAAACTGAAACGTCGTCGTGTTTCTATACCTGTGCTTCGTAACTGGATTAAGTTTTCATATATTTTTCGATACGTGCGTTGATTGCTGAACCCTCTCATTGCAAACCACGTGTTACGTCTAACCTTAATTTCTTGGTCCGTGAAATGTATGTACGCTATACGCGATTTTCTTTCCTTTTTCGAATAATATCGTAAGTATTGAAACTTATATAATAAATTATGCTAAATTATTTAGTCTGAAATATTTCATGTTTTTACATTTTCGTTATAGAATTATTTACCTAGAACTGGTCACAGTAATTGAAGCACAATTAGATTAGAAAAATCGCACTAACTAATAGACAGTAACTAACTGTGTATCAGTTATATCATGTCACATATTAACAATAATATATATTTTAATTATGAAAAAATTCCTACTTATACCCAAGACATCTACGTGTAACGTAAATGTTTTAAAAAGTGCGACATAGTTGAAAGAACTAATCAATTGATACATTTACCCTAGTTATGAAATAAATTAAAATTGTTTACAGTATCAAAGAATGATTACATTACCCTTTCTACAAATGCATTGTTTTAAGAAATTAACCGAAGAACTTTCGTCATCGATTGTAATTCGAACTGTTTTAAGCAAGAGCTTTTGTACAGTTCTACGTAGAAAATCACATGGGCCACATGATCGCTGAGACATGCGCATTCAAGTTCAAATCCATAAGATCAAACTATAAAAATCGTTCGATTCCACCGTCTCCGCCGCGCCACTTACAATTAGTATGCCTGTAAGTTTAGTAAGCGGTTGTACGAATGCTTCGACTTGTTTAAGAAAATACCGCACCGTAAATTGAAGGAACTTAATTGCATGCCTCACGAGATGCTCCGTTTCGATATCCAAGGCGATGAATCGTCTAGTTCTCAAGTTTTCCTTCTTTTAGAGGAGTAAAGCATGGAATTCTGCGGCCAAGTTCGAATCGAGCCGACTTCTTCCCTTCCGAACGGCCCGAAAGACTGATTTGATCGGTTGCATTCTTGTATCGTCGTAAACACGATCGATGAGAAACGGTCCGGAAGCGAAGGATACGGCTGCGCGCAAGTCACGTCGTCTTTCAAAAGAAAAATTCTTATTTCGATCGATGCCCATTGTCAAAGCCGATATTCAACGGCGATGTTTTTTTTGGTAGTCGGCGTGCCTCGCGTTCGAAAAGCTTTCTCTATACGCCAAACAAAAGTTCGGAGCATAAGAGCAGAGATCCTTTAGAAAGAAGAATTATCTGCCTTCAAATTACCTGCCTTCCCTTCTGGAAACCTCGTTCCCCACAAAATCGAACGCTTCTTACAGGAACGCGCGCGAGCTTTCGCTCAAATGGGAATTAGGGAGAAACAAGGAACGATTAAGACTCTGTGAGTAAACGTGCTGTCTTATATTTTTTTCTTGGAATTTTTGCTCGTTTCTTTTAAACGACGCAAGTTGAAATTTATCTTGACTTGTCTTTCAAGAATAATTCGTTCTCGTCGCACTGTCACTTCTCGGATTAATATCTACCATAGTTTAACATTAGAACCGCGTACCTTTCTTGCTAAAATACAAATATGCATACAAAATACATCATAACAAAAATATATTTTTTCCAATATATATTTTATGCTATTTATGCTATTCCTTCTACTTATCTTCATTAAATTTTTTCTATGGCCCTTAATGAAACATTTGAGAAACTAAAATAGTTGTCAGAAACTTGATATTCAAATAGTGATTCCAAACAGTACAATTACCAAACATATTAAATTTCGTAATTAACTAGGAGAAATCATTTATTAACGTTGGGACAGAATATTTCAAATTTTTTACGTATCATTGCCTGGATTGTATATATAAATCATATTCTTAACTCTGTTTTTCTTCGCTGAGAGAAGGTCAGATTAACGCTTGTAAACATTAATAAATGAATTCAACGAAACATCGTGGTACAAGATAACAGAGTCCAGTTTTCACGCGAAAACATTTCTATTGTGTTCATCCCTCTTTTATAACAACCGGTCTTATCTAGCACTCCTCAAAAAAGACTGCGGTCAGACCACAATGGTAAAAATTGAATGATCAGCGGAGCCGATTACTCTCGCAGCTTTGTCTTTACAACTTTATTGTACATCTTTCTTCGTTGCTTCGTCAATAAATTCCTTGTTAATTTTATCGTTAAATTCATTTCTTACTTGCTACCAGACTGCGGATCTTCATGCAAAATAAAAATTGTCTACGAAGTCAGTGTAAGAAACAGAAATCGAATGAAACGTATTTCCATTTTTAATAAATTTAATAAGTCGAAAATATTGCAACAAAATCATGTACTTCTACCAGTGCCATTGTATCTGATCACTTCATTTTCGTCATAAATGTATACAATCCGGAGTCTACTAATTATTACACTGCCGATTTTATACATTTATGATAAAACTGTCTCTCTTCAATTTTGTATTATTGTTATTATTATTGAGGAAATACATTTGTATTGAATTTCGGTTTCTTACAATTAACTTGAAATACTTTTATTTCGCATAATAATCCGCATAATAACCCGCGTGCTAACTTAGCGTTCGACGAGAGCAATGTAGTAAAGAGAGATGTTCACAGCGTACTTCTAACACTCTATGATTCACAGGCGCGTATGAATGTTTTTAACGAAAACAATGATAGATATAGAATGTACAATTGAAAACATTCGAAGTTACGTCTGTCAATTCTTTGATCCTCGGTTGAAATACCTGTGCAAGCTCGGTAGACATCTTGATAGACAATTAACAGCACTCACAGGGTCTTGGAGCGTTCGAATGAAACGTACAGTTCGAAACCGAGCGGAAGCTAACAAGCCAAAAGTACACGATGCCTGTGCTGTCCAAGCTTGACTCGCGAGTAAATTCGGCTACCCTTATCCTATCTATGTTCTCGAGGCAACTAAGACGCTAAGCATGACTCAGCTACTGTTGTACGCGTCGATGACGAAAGTTCGAGTCTGCCACTATTGCGGCTGTTTTTGTTAGAAGCGATCAGTGGAGGGAACGTAAAGAATGTAAGAGGCATCGTTCCTGGACAGCACGGCACTATGCGACACAAAATCGTTTTCAGTGCAAGGGAATCGTCTGTGACCCGACGCTTCGACTCGTTGGGGACCGTGTCGACCGACACGGTGGAGGAAGCGTCGGGTCCAGGCGGTTCCTGTTTCTCACATTTCGATACAATGTATATCGCATACTGTACGAGCTTGGTGGGTCACAATCGAGAGCAAGTTCGAAGGCTAGCGTAATAAAGGGGCACTTAACGAAGACGACTTTAATGCGGAGCAAAGACGGGACCAGACTCGTTCTAATCCGTGTTACCTGGATACTTTCCGGGTGTGTTTTCACAGGCGACGAATCCGTACCTGACCAGTATGCCGCAGGTTGGCAACACGTACAGCCCGTATTTCGCACCCAGCCCCATCATGCCGGCGATAATGGGGCCGGCGGATCCAACTGGAGTAGGAAGTCCTCTCGGCGTGGTGCCGCAGACAGTAGCGATGCCGCAGAAGATGCCACGTACCGACCGCCTCGAGGTATGTCTACCACCAAACTACATTCAACAACAACAACAGCAACAACAACAGTCACAACAACAGCATGGGGCCCAACAAGGCGCAGCCGGGGCCTCAAGGTGCCCGATGGCCGCTCCCAGTACCGTGTACCAAGTGCCGGCCGGTCCCCCCAATCAAGTGTCGCCCGTTTCCACGATGCAATCTGTCAATCATCCACCATCCCCTACCACGATCACCACTACCTCCTTTTGTACTCCCTTGCACAACCCTCATGCCCACCATCACCCGATCCATAACCTGATCTACGTCCACGCGTATTACTGAAGTCGACCGGTGCTTTCCATTCTTTGTTTCTTTTCTTCTTTTTTTAATTTCTTACTTCCGACGCGGCTGTTTTGTTTCGTCGAGTCACCATTCGACTTTACTCAATGTAGAAGTAGGTGAGAGGAGACCAAACAGCTCGTTCATCTGAGATTTTAAGCGATGAGGCTTGACCTTTTGTGATAACTTTCCGAATATCGTTTCAGATTTCAAACGGACCGAACCTTGATTTGTCCTTCAGTACAATGGGGACACTGACCAGAGCATATTTCCAATGCACTAACGATTGCCATAAATTTCCTGAAATATTCCCGATTCATATTTTTCGCAATTATTTGCAGTCTTCGAATTTTTCAAACTAGAACGACGGTGTCCTGGCGTTACGCAAATACCACGCCTCTTACACAAATACAATGCTCTGGTTATGTTCGCTGGATACCAACATATTTTTTTTCCAATCGCATTGCGTCGATGCGAAAAATATCCGATAATTCGTCGTCACCGAAGGTCAAGATACTTTCATCGGACCATCTTAAAAGTCCGATGCAGACCAGCTGTCTCCTCGGAGGTCCACTTGCGCGCTGGAAACATTATTTTCAAGTAATTTGAGCCGACTAGTCGCGCGAATATGTGCTTTGATTAAAGTATTTTTTCGATACCGTTCAGATTTCGAAGGAAAGGGAGTTGATCCGAGAAAGAAAAAAAGAAAAATGAAACTGAGAATCTGTGTCAGGCGTTTTTAATAGAACAAACGGGAAAATACCTGGGCTGGAAATCAGTGATCGCTCTCGTTGATTCTCCTGAAAATACAGGGACGAGCATCTAACAGAAAAGCTATATATTTCTACACATTTATTCACGGCAGTGGACATAATGCACGTATATTTGGTGAAACAGGTACTATGATATTCTTCTATGATATCATTTTTTTTTTTATTAACGACGTACGTTTCCTCGTATCGAAAAGCTGTCTACTAGCCGTGAAACGCGATCGATGGATCACAATTGATTTTATATTCTTTTCCGTTACGTCCGAGGACGGAGTAAAGAACGGTAGAAAGCGGTCCTTTAAAAACTTGTAACTTCTCCGATTGTTAGACAGTGGATTTTTATGCAAAATAAGAATAACTTCCATCGAATCGTTCAACAATTCCGACGTAACACACGAATGAAATGTTTTTTAGCTTTTTTACTTATTTGAAATTAACTATACTAGAGCAGATATCCAAATTACTGCCACCTTAATCGCGTAACTTTAGTTAATTATTCAGAAGTTGTTTAACCTAAATTCCATTGCAATTTGCAGAATAATAATGCGTGAGATCTCTTTTATTGAAGACATTTTTTTATGTAATAAACATTACGTGCTAATTGTTAATGAATTGAAAATTTACAAGGAAGTGCAATGTATCTATAATTGTCATTAAAATAATCGTAGTTATTTTTAATCGTCATCGAAAATAGATAATTGTATATAAGTACAAGCAACATGAAAGAAATTACACGATTTCAATCAAACATATTTCAAACATGTCGACAGAATAAAAGAACGCCACTACTAATTATTATATACCAACGATAAAAGTCACTCTTTTCGCGCTATGAATGAAATAAATCGCACTCGTACTTTTCACATGCTAATGGCAAATTCATCTTTTAATATTAATTTATATTTATACAATTGCAATATGTTTCCCTATTATTACCTAAAACGGAGCCCAAGTTTAGCATTAAAATTTCGTTTCTCTACGATTCTCCACGCATTATTCCACTATTAAGTAAAACAATCAAAATGACAGTTATAGCGACATTGACAGTAATTGGGACATCTACCCTAATTATTACACATTGATGAAACGTGTAAATTTGTCAAATACAAGAATGCTTGTTAAAAGTTAACGAAGTCTAGTGGCGCTATTTTCTTTTTACAATGAGTAATTAACGAAGGAAACTTTCTTACGATTGCAATGTTTTTCAAATGAATTTGCATAAAGATCCGCAGTCTACTGACCGGTTCTATGCGGTACCCACACTATCACGTTGAATTGCTCGGACCGTGGCGGAGAAATACGGCGTCCAATACTACTGTCCAAACGATAGCCTTAAATTTCAAGTAGTATTAGCACGAAGACGCGTATTCCCGTCTACAATCGGAATGATTCGGCATGGTAATGGGAGCAGCGCAGTTTAGTTGGGCCGAGCTGATCTCGAAATATCCGAAAACCGCGGCGGGCAATTTAGCAGAGCGTAGGAAGCTTCTTCGGCTTCTTACCCGCACTGCGTGCGTGCAGTATTGCATCTTGCACATTTTCCTACAGAACCGTCGAACTTGTTCCATCAACTATACGAATTGTGGACGCTGTCGATGGTTTAGCTTTGTACGAATCGTGTCGCAAGAATGAACACGGGCTTCGTGTTTTCGATCGCAGTCGGGTCGCGTTTGTTCGTCCGAATCCCATCGATATCATAACCGTACCGATATTTAACGAATATGATATCGGCACGAGATGAACCGCGCGGAACCAACAATTTCACGAGTCGCTTGCAACCGGGCGAACTGCGACGAAACGAAGTTCGCTTAAACGACGAGTCGAACGCGGAACAACAAGTCGCATTTCTCGGCGAAGAGATGAAGGGGAGCGTGTAGAATGAAACACGAACATGGCTACACGATTCATAGATACTCATAGTAATTTATCTTGTGGTTAACGTAGAATGCGGCGAAACGTTTCGATTAAGAGGGAGCATTACACGAGATAGGAATAGAGCTCCGGGCTAATCATGGAGATTACCTTTGCGGAGGTTGTATATCGATAAGATTAACACATACTATAATGGCAACGACGAAACCGTGATGATAATTATGATTATATTATTAAATTATTAAAAGTACGCAAGTGTGGCAGGATGTAGGTCGGCTCAGAAGTGTGCAACATATTCGATCGGCTCAATGATCCATTGTTTTGGGAAGTTGGGGGTCAAACGTTTGTTCCTTCAAGTGAGATAAGTCGTCGAGGATGAGGTGGCGTTTGCAATCCTATCGGTTAGAATTATTTCAATTAAAATTGACCGTTTAACAAATTAATGTGAACTCGTAATGGTTGTTATGTCATTCGGCGATTTACTGGTACTATTTATACAATTTAGTGCTCGAATCGAAGACAAACCAGACTGTCGAAGTTCTTTGAACTACTCGCATTTACATAAACATCAAAGGTACATCGAACCTCCTTGAAAACAACTTAAAGTTTCAACTGCAATTCATTTTGACCGTCTAAATATTGCTTTCTACATGAACGTTTACTTGATTCTTGAAATGAATTAAAAGTTACGCAGAAACTTGCTGTTCCAACTCTGTCGCTCCAGCGCGCTTATGAGAAAATTGATGATCCCTGTGAAAAATAAACAACTTAGTTCGTTTGTCTCGACGTGGTTAAAAAACATAAACAAACACAATTTATATGGTTATTAATTAAACAATCGACAGCTTATTATATGTCGCTTTCTCCATATTTTAGAAAGCATTTTTATAGCATTATTGTACAATATTCTGTTTATATTTGGTATATTTCATATAATAACACATTTATTGAAAAATATAGTCCGCGACGCGGCAGTGTTCATCTTTCACAGTGTTCCATTTGTATTGCCATCTATATAAATTTAAATTTGTTAAATGAATTTCATTTTAAAAAATTAGATTCAAATAATATACAATATCTTAATAATATTCATAAAAATTTTCTGAAATCTCATATTATTTAATAAACGTCTGTTGCAAGTAAAGATATTACTAATACGAGATTTTACTATCACCGAAAAGAATATTAACGTTATTCATCTACCTCAAATCGAAATACGATTTAAAGTGTCCGTTATCAATTCTTGATTAGTAGATCTAATGTGTGTGTAGAAATACAATAAATATACATTTCTTTACCTTCGTGAGAATTTACTAATATTTGTCGAGATACGATTATTTCAACGCGAAGTACAGTTAAAATGTCAATGACCATAAATTAAAATATTTCGAATCCGCCATTTTAACGGGTCCCGTAATCCTGGTGTTAATTAAGCCACTTTAACGTCTCTGTCGTCGGCGAACGTCTTTCCGTCGGAATCGCGAGGAGCGTGCCGAATTCGCGCAAGAAAACGTTTTAGAAGTAACAATAATGTTTCTTGCCGGTCTTCAAAAGTTGGGTTTCAGCGAAAACTTCCGGTCTGTCGTGGAAACCGCTGTAAGTTTTCTAATGTTCGAGTTCACAAATTTCCCCGGAGCCTGTATCGCATTATCCGCCATCCCATTCCAGGCCACACCTCACTCCTTCTGTAGCTTTCGCGAAATTAACAAGTTTCGCACAACAGTTCCGCGAGGAAATGAATAAAATCGGACGGGCGCGGGGGCGGGCGGGTTCGTATCGACGCGAAACTCCTGCGATTCCTTCCGCAAAATGGCAAAATGGAATTCTTCCTTTCTCAACCCGACAGAACAAGCAATGGCTCTTCGCGGACGTTGAATTTAATACGTTCGCCGTGTATTCGACCGTAAGGTATTCATCGCATGCGCGAATTCATCTCGAGATTCCTAAATTCGCGATCGAAGCACGTTCCCCGAACATCGCGTTTACCAGAATTTTTTATACTTTTTCTACTACACGATTCAACTGATACATCGAACGGTTTTCGTATCTACGAAATATTTCAATTTCATAAATGGAGCCTCGATTTGTTACAATGAATGTTTAAGTTCGTTTTAAGAGCCGGTAATGAAATGAAATTGATCTTTAATAGAGAATTGATCTAAATCTAAAATGTTTTATTAAAAGAAGAAATACGTTCGTGTTTAACTTTTATCTTATGCAACTGATACAAATAATTTTTATTTTGCAAAAAGAAGTTCCGTAGTCTATTTGTGACAGAACTGAATAAGCCCAATACAAAACTGTAATAACATTATACGAATTTGAGAATATTATTACATTATTTTCTACTTATTACAATTGTTAAAAGAGAAAAAACATCTTCACTTAATTTATGTTTCTTACAATTAACACGATTATGTACCCGCAGTTTTCTAATAGTTCCTTTAAACTCGAACACAGAATTTCTTAAAAAATTGTCATTGTTATTAGATACAACGCAGTCTTTGAAAAGTCTATTAATAGGCTTCTGGTAATTAAAGTGTTCACTTGGACAATTTTTGTTTTGCATGGAGATCCACAGTCTGGTAATCGCCGAAGTTATATTTTTACTCGACACATTTGTGTATCTCATCCATCATAATACAGTTACGCACAGTCAAATATTTTTGTTTTCACGTTTGATGTTTAACAGTTGCAAGCGACAATAATTGGGACTGTATTTGAAAACTCTACGCCATAGCGGTGACCATAATTTTTGCAAGGTTAAATGCAAGTTGGTAACAAGAGTGAATCGAAATAAATTGCTCTAATTACACACGTTCATTTCGAAGTACATACTCTTACTGACAAACGATGTTACTCACATTTATCAGTAATTTACGTAAATTGATTATTGATATTTCTTTCAATTATCATAGGATAGAAAGTATATGTTTTTGTGTGTATATACAATTATGATGCAAGATCTCTACACATTTACAAACGTGCTTAAACATGCTTAAACGACCGTCTGAAAAGTTCGATAATCATTTTACAGATGTTTTAAAATGTCCCAGCGTTCAGTGCATTTTAATTCTTTCGGAAAATTGTACATTTCCAATTTGCAAGGAAAGAATGGTCAAAAAGGAGATTAAAATAATTAAGTAAAATATGGCACATTTTACATTGGTACATAAGCATAAATGCTCGTGTGTCTAACGTTTTCTGAAAACCTCATCTGTGATACTTATACCATTACGAGAATTGGTCGCTTTCGGCAAAAATGGGTCGAGATAACAGAATCATGACAATGAGCATAACAAGCATTCTGCTTTGCATCGTAGATATGTCTGGAAAGATTGTAACAGATAGAAGATAGGTAGACTATCTGAATAAAAGTCTCCGTTTGAATTTCTCGGCGATGGTTGCACATTTCTGAAGCCCGAAATTTTAACCTTTTAAAGAATCTATACGTTCGTACGTATGCAGAAACATAGTTCAACGCGTCGAACCAGTGATGCATACGCACACAGCAACACGTGTACATAGTAGGTAGGTTAACAAATTAATTGTGTTTCGTATTGCGGAGGACGAGAGCCGAAAATAATGGACAAATCTCTGATCGAACTCACTTCTATTTACGTTGTGTCTTATAATATATACAATATTTGAGTCGTCTAAACACAGAGAATTAGTGGTTATTCAAAGTTTTTAGTCTAAAGTACTTTTCCAGCCTAGGCTAACCTAGGATAAAATCGAGATAGCTGTCTTCTTTTTAACACTTTCAGAATTTGTTTGATTTGTTTTTACATTAAGACTCGAATAATCGATCGCGCTTCGACTTTTCCCTTATAATCCACCCTGTTACAATTCCTTCACCACGAAACAATTCTTCGGAATTTTCTTACGTCTTCTGGTTTCCTTGGTCTGAGGAATAAGTACCGACGATTAGGGATTAATGATTAAGTAAAATCAGAGAGTGAAGAAAAGGAAAAAAAAGGAAAAAAGTATATGCACTGTAATGTCGTTAATTATTAACTATTACAAATAGAATTCGGATGATATATCGATCGATCTATCAACTAACCACAATTGGTCTTACGATAATTATATTATTATAATATTTGGTAAATATACGATAATAAATGATAATTACTAATCGTAAAAATGATAACCTATTTGTGATGTAATACTTGATGACTTGCACTAAGTTCGGGTCACAACGAAATTTATTGAGCGATGAATTCAAATAAAAGAAATATAATTGAAATTAAAAACAAACGCACAGACTACATTTATTGAATCTTTTTTGTTTTATGTTTACTCAACGACCAAACGAAGATAAAGAAAGGAAAAAAAGCAGATCAAGTGTGTGTGCTTTTTGTGTTCCACCTTTTTTTAGTCTATTGTGATCTCTATATACATATATATATATTTATCTTGTGTTTCCTTTCGATGTAATGTGCCTTTGCTCTTTTAGTTGATCGAACTTGTGCGAAGTATGCTCAAATTGTATTATTACTATTTTTCTGTTTTTTTCTTTCTATTATTTGTAATACTTTGCCTCATTGGAAAAAATACGAACGTTTCCATAGCGCATATTCCGCTTGCAAGAGGAAAAAAGAAAATCACGAATAGTTTTTCTATGTAAAATAACGTTTTCTTTCATTACCGTTAGCTTTTTGTTTCTACCGTTTTATTTATTTCTTTTGTTCGTTTTTCCTTTCGATCGCTAATTTACCGCGATGAAACGCCGACGCTACCGGTCAAGTAAATTGTACAGAGTCGAGAAACTTGTTTGTTAGCTCTCTATTAACGAATTTCTGCGTCGAACGACGAGCAAAATCCGTGTCACGCCCATCTCACTCTGTCTCTCAATTTAATCCCGTCTGGATATCTTGATGCTCCTCAATCTCCAACCCCATTCATCCATGAGGAATCAAAATAATAAAAACAAAAAGGAAAGAAAATAATTTGCATATCTCCCGCAGAACGTTATATCATTGATGGTTTTTAAATTAATTGCCTGCTGCCTGTTTAAGTATAATGTTATTAATATTCGATATAAATATGTTTGCATTTTGCTACTTAGATACCATTAATATAATCTCCAACCCTTGATTGGTCGAGACTGTCCCGATGGTAGAAGCAAACCTATTAACCGAAAACGGAGAGACAAACTTTTAATTTCTTGTTGTTAAGTATTACACCAGAAGCTCCCGGAAAACGATAACAATCAGTCGTCACGACAAAGCTTGATCAATTAAGGAGAAAGCAGAAGCAGTAGAAAGCCAAACAATGACATCTTTATATCCTATAATCATTAGTAGTGTCATGACCATAGTGACTGAAGCGTAGTGATGTCCATTTAATATTATTTCGTTCTCTTTTCAACTATTTGCATCGGTGTTAACGAACTCTTACGCCACTAGCACACTAGCGAACGACTTACCAGAACGTTCTTTGTTGTACATACATACATCATAGTCCGTGAGATTTCTTTTTCACAGGCCGGCACTTAAATTTAGTGGTCCCTCTGTTCTATTTCTTACCCTTCTTCGATATAATGGCGCCTGTCTATTTGTCCGTTTTTGAAAACCTAAGTCGATCGTAGGATCAAATCCAATCTATCAGAATCGAACGAAATTCCCAAAAATTGAATTTTCATGATACATTCGCCTAAACGAAAGATAGAATTCTATATTTCGTGATCGAATAAACATGCTCGCTTCTGAGA